GCATGTTTCTCGTAACTGAAAGTGCAGCATGTGGCAACGTAATGCTCAAAAATCGTTGTGTGCAACTCGTATTTAATGTGATTTCACACCACAAAACGTTCAACAACAATTTATTTCCTTGTTAAGTTTACCTCAGTAAATGTTACTATAACAAGAAGAAGTGCACTCACCAACTGTGAAGAAACCATAGTAAAATATGCAATACTTGTTAAGATAAATAGAAAAATGCAAATGATTCTCTTATTTATGTGCAAATATTCCACATGTGTATATATTATACTTAATATGCATTTATTGCCATTTAACGATAAATACTACTTCTACTTACTAAATGCATCCTTTTTTATATGACAATCAATAAAATATTAAATATGAAAGCAATCACAACCAACAATACTCCTACACTTAAACCTTTCAACCGCTTTAGATAGTCGGCAATGAGACAATCTTAGTCCCATCTTTTAACACTATAACAGAGCCATAAAAAAAACTGCTAGAGGGTACACACTTATTTTTATTATTAAAACTGTTGTCGCGAAATCGCCCAATAGACGATACTGAAGAGATCAGAAGAGTCCTATTATACCAAAGAATACACCCTTAACACAGAACTAATAATAAATTATGTTATATATAGATATATGATTTTTAAGTTGACAAAACACTATTTTGCCTTAAACCAAAATTATTCTACGACTTTAAAGACAACAATATTAGAAATCTGTATTTTCAGACTGCGTTTCATTTGAACCACTGGCAACCTGAACCACATATGCCCGTAATTATATTTAAATACTAATGTTCAATCACGAACATGAGTTTTGACCTCCGGCAGAATGTTCAATCATGAACATGAATTTATACCATATATTTAATTACTATAGTTTATATTATCACCTAAATTCTTAGAATAATGTACTAAGGAAAAATATAGATAAATAGTAACATTTTTTAGCAACCGTATTTAAATTATTCAAATAAAATATATTCATAAAAACAATAGGAGGAAAATCCCAAGTGTTGGGACTTCCGTCCTTTTTTAACCTTTTTTGACAAATGTAATACAGTCCATTAAAATCATAATATTTTAACCTTGATGTAGAAATTAGTCTTAAAATATTTTTGTATAAAAACACAACATTATTTTAAATAAAATCAGTAGCTAAAATATACTCAAACTGTGTACTTCATTGAAATAAAAGTACATTTGGTCCTTCGAGCCGGATATAGCAAAAATGCTATATCAGTGTACTACAATAATAAATCAGTACATCCAGTGGCAAGGAACTATAAAATATTAAAAGCAGTGTCAGGGCTAAACATTGACGTAATAATAATAACAAAAGGCATCGTAGCAGCAGTAGAGCATAAAAAAGCAGCAACATGATGCAAGACAATAAAACGTCCCAGGAAGCAGAAAAGGACGAGATAATGTCCAAATTTATATTAACAATTCTAAAACTAAAAGAAATGTTTATACAAGGACTGCAGTTAGAAGAAAAACAGGAGCTTATAACAGAGAGAAAAAGCTGGCAAAGGCAAATAAATATAATACACAATTATTATTATATGTTGCGGTTTGAACACCAAGTATGTTCTGAAGAGCTAGTTAAAGAGAAAGATGATATTGATAATTGGCATCATGAAGCTGAAGTAAAACGACTAAAAAAAGTAAAAAAGCTAACTGAGGCTGAGCAGTCGACAGCACGTCCTTGGGAGACTAGACGTCTTAAAGGAGAGCTTATAGATTTGAAGGTGTCAGAATTAGAACAAGAAGTTGATTTTGGCAAATTCAAAAGTAAACTCCAAGAAGAAGTAATAGCTACTCTGAAGAAGGAAATCGATAAACAACACAAATTTTCCACAGTTAAGATACAGGATGCAGAAACACATCAACAGGTGGTACGTAAACGTGAACAAGCGGCTCAACAAGAATTGGTAAGAATGCAACGTGAGTTGATTGATCTTAAGCATAATTCAGAAGATACAATACAAAAGCTTAAAAATGCAAAAGATGAAATAGAAACAGAAGTACGTCAAATGAAAAATGACATAACTAACGAATTAGAAGAATATCGACTTTATACAGACAAACTCTCAATGGAATTACAATTACTTAGTAATGAAATGTCTGCTATAAGAAAAGAACTTGAAATATATAAAGAAAAAGCAAGTTTATATGATAGTTTGAAATTGCAAAATGAGAAAGATTTAAATGAACTTGATTTTGCTAATTCAAAAATAAAAGATTTAGAAAGTCAAATCGCTTCATATGAGGATTGGAAAGATACAACGAAGAATAACCATGCACGCCTATCAAGCTTTCCTGATATTGAAAAAGAAGTCGAGTTCTTGCGTGACAAAAACAAAAGTTTGCATGAACTGATAGGTGATAAGGTATTGCTGGAAGAACAAGTCTATGGTTTGAAAACGCAACTCAAAATTGAAGATCCTGAAGACACACTCAGTAAAAGCGAAGCTGAAACACCTGAAGAAATATTCAATGAGAATATTAATAATAAAAATTACAACGAAAAAGAATCCGAAGAAAATGAACTTCTAGGTATATCAGTGGATACCAATAACCATGAAGGCAAATTTGAATTAAATAATAATTTAATAACTTCAAAAACAAATTTACAAATAATGAATCTAAAAATTTTGTTCAACACAAATTACTTTTTATATCTGTTCTTTGGCCCCGGAACTCCTCACCACGGAGGATTTTGTACGGCACAAACATTAAATAATATCTTTACAGAATTGTATGCAGTTCCAGTTCAGTGGCAGTTCGAAGTAATTCTCAAGCATAAGTATTGGAAGCTTTGGGAAAAATGGAAGGAAAAATTTCTCATATATATATATGATGACGGCGTCAGACATGAAGGAGGCGATACAACTACTACAACATAATCATATTAAATAATTATGATTAAAATTTTATTATGGCCCCCGGCAGAATGTTCAATCACGAACATAGTTTTGACCTCCGGCAGAATGTTCAATCATGAACATGAATTTATACCATATATTTAATTATTATAGTTTATATTATCACCTAAATTCTTAGAATTATGTACTAAGGAAAAATATAGATAAATAGTAACATATTTTAGCAACCGTATTTAAATTATTAAAATAAAATATATTCATAAAAACAATAGGAGGAAAATCCCAAGTGTTGGGACTTCCGTCCTTTTTTAACCTTTTTTGACAAATGTAATACAGTCCATTAAAATCATAATATTTTAACCTTGATGTAGAAATTAGTCTTAAAATATTTTTGTATAAAAACACAACATTATTTTAAATAAAATCAGTAGCTAAAATATACTCAAACTGTGTACTTCATTAAAATAAAAGTACAACTAACGATATATATTTTTAATAGAACCTTTTCTATAAACATATAATTTTAATATCTTTTATTTATTTTTAAAAATCAAACCTGTAAGACAACATAACAAATCACAATGAACAATAGTTGTCTCCCAATGTAAAGTGCATCAACACCCACCTCTTACACCTAACCTAACTTGAGATAACTCAACCTATCGTATGTTACTATAAATGTTAAACGTTAGATATACTTTTTTAAGTAAGGATGAAAGTTGGTCAATATTTTGATAATAGGTATACAGTTTTTAATGAATCCTTATTTGACCAGAGTCAAATTTATTAAACACTCTACACTGCCAAGAGTATATTCCATTATCATTCGCTAATTTTCTATAAAGTCTTATTTTATCAGAGCAGAACTGTAAAATAATGATTAGACCGCCAGTAATGATTAGACAGTCGTAATAAATGCAGCAGATCTGGAATATAGGAAGATATAGAATTTGCAATATATACATGTCCGTTCTTTTTCAAATAACAAAACAATTTGGCACAATTCAATGTCACAAAATGATAAGCATAGTTAAACCAAATAGCTTAACTGTACTTAAGTTCATACGGAAACAAAGGTTTTTGACCTACTATATAATCAGCATAGAAGATAGTTAGTCTTACAACTAAAACTAGCAATCGAAAACAATTATTTAACACTAAGATTTAGTAGTCACTAAGTTAACAGACTCTTCTAACAAATCTCGCTAAGGACTCAAGGCACTTATTGTTTGGACTCAGGTCTTGGTCTAAAGACTCATGGCACTTATTATTACCAGATAATCTGATCTAATACAATGCCTATCAATTTTTAAGTATTAGAAAGATCAGGGACCAATATCTGGTATTTGATAATCTTTTTAAAACAACAATTGTGTGGATTCGATTCTTTCAGTTTAATTCTATAATTCAAAGCAATTCTCGAAGCTATGTTTATTATATATAATATATTTCAAAGTTAATGTACTTATATTGAACTTAACTTATATTGAATAAAATAACGAAGAATACAGATACCTGCCTCTCGTAAGCCGCGAAATAATAAATAAATATTTTCAATTAGATAATCAAAAAGTTTCCAGCCTAGCTATATAGATGGGATATAGATTCAACCCATACATATTTCACATATGTTATTTAATCCATGCTACCTTGTAGGATATGACCAAAATATTTATATTTTGACCATAAATATTTTCAATTCGATAATCAAAAAGTTTGCAGCCTAGCTATATAGATGGGATATAGATTCAGCCCATACATATTTCACATATGTTATTTAATCCATGCTACCTTGTAGGATATGACCAAACGCTTATCTTTATAAAAACTTCCACTTTCTATTATTAAGGCCAGGTTTCAGAGGTCTTAAAATTGAGTTAAATATAAATTAAGTCAGAAAATTATTAAGACTTAAGTAACTAACGACTGTGAAATTGGCGGTGAGTATCGCCACAAACATTTTAATATCTTTATAATGTTTCAATGATTTAAAGTTTTAAATTCATTCGAATTATCATTTCAAAATAAAATAGAGAAAAATAAACAAACTTAAACAATTCCTTTGAATCAAATTGAATTTTCTTTTCATTTTATGATTTCTATTTCAGATTCTGCACATGCACATCGCTAACATTGAAAAATTGCCATTAAGCACAACTGGTTCGCCTTTGTTGATACGGTGTAAAACGTTTCTATCTGTAACATTTGTCATTCCAAAGGATTCAGAATGTCACGATGTATACACATCATTAACAAAACTTTTTCAACCAGGTGAGTTTGTTACTTCTTTCAACTCAATTACATACTGCAAATATTTGAATTGCGTCGAAACAGATACTCGTACCTTACAATGCACATAGTATTTTCATACCATTAATTCTTTCTTTTTGTATTCTTTTTAAAATAAATAGAATTATTTCATTTTTTTCACAGTTTCCATTAATAAGCTTTATTGCTTCAACTATCAGCCCGCCAAGGATGATTTGCCGAAGACGTCAGGTTGGGATTTCTTCAAATTGGAAAACGAATTCAAACGTATGCGGGTACCGAATGACATCTGGACTTTGTGCACCTTGAATTCCAATTATGAATTGTGTGACACTTATCCACGACAAATTTATGTGCCACAAGAGGCTAATACGGCTATGTTGATTGGAAGTTCGCGATTTCGTTCCAAGGGACGTTTGCCTGCTTTGACCTATTTGCACTCGAATAAGGTGAGTTATTATTCCTCTTGAAATAATATTCAATAGCGAAGAGACACAATTGCAATTTTTATAAAAGTAAATATATTTTATTGAACTGTCGACAGCAATAATAATCTACATAAATTTCATTTCACATTTAACTGCATCACAAAAACCACGCTCCATAAATGTGCCACATCATCACTCATTCCTTCTCGTAAAGTAGATAAACACTCGTAAATGTTGGTTTTGACGTTGAAAGGTACAAAGGAATAAATTAATTCACAATGAACTCTGTATTTATTGAATTCTTGATAAATTGATGATGATCAATTGCAGTTCATGAATTCCATTATATTGAATTTGTTTTATGAACGAGTTTGGAACGAATAATGGTCCCATCAATTTCAGTGTCTCTTCCTTAAGATGTTATTTGTGTTTCGTATAAAGAGATACAAATGTTGAAGGATATTCATTGTAATTTTGGTTATTTTGGTTCGTTTAACAATTATCAAAGATTTGCATGAATGTAGGCGAAAGGTTTGAAAAACTATATATAATCACTTAATACATTCATGTATGTACAAAGTATACATAAATTCATTCACTTTATAAATACTAAATATACAACACTTTAACATAAATTTTTGCAATATCTACTAAAAGTTATGCAAAAAGTTAACTAATTCAGGAGAATTAACCTAATGATGTACTATTGTAAATATGTGACTTATTACACTTCCACGGGGAGGGTTAGGCGATTGAAGTGTCACCTATTGAAGCGACCAAATCTTTGTTGTGTGAAATTATTTTTTATTGTTTTAAATTACAAAAATTTGTTCAAATAATCAAAATTTGAGAATCCATACACTATAACTCGATGTGACCACATTTTACCTTGACTATGGCTTTCAAACGGTGAAAAAAAATAAATCGTATGCTTCATTCCTAAACAACGGATTTCTTCAGCGCATCCATACTGGCAAAATTTTTAATCCTAGTCATTACCTTTCTCTCCAAAATAACCCATATGGAATAGACCATTAGATATGCATCTAGCGAACTCGAAAGATATTATGTGAACCAAATAAAGTGTGGAACATATGGTAGTTTTTTAAACATTCATGATTCACACAAACTTAATAAGACGGTAAGCCTACCGAATATTATTGGAAAGCCAATGGTCTACAACCGAAATGTTTGCGTGCCCAGTGCTCTAAAGAAACATCCTAAATATTTTTCCCGGTACTAAATCGCATTAACTTTGACATCAGATTCGATGAAAACGTTTGAAAAGTGCCCATCGGAGGTCATAGCTGCCCATACCATTAGTTCAGATGGAAAATTACTTTAGGTGGCCATTCGTAGTCTCAAATGGTAGTGAACGGCAGTGCGTTCAGTTAAGTAAACACAATCATTTTTATAGTTTATAAACTAATCAATGGTGAAATTTTTCTCACCAAAGAACACAATGTTTGGAAAATCGCACAATGAAAACGCTTTACTCTAGTTTCAATCATAATATCTGCTAATCATGCAGAATATATCAAACTGGTCGCAGTGCATAGGGGCCTTAGCCTTACCCAAAACCCCCAAATACTATTACCATCATAATATCTGCTAACGATTAATTCCAATGCAGTTTTGTAAAATTTACCAGATTTTCGTGGCCACAAAATATAAGAAATCATATCAAAGTCTGTGTTATTTGAGTCTTTCACAGTAATGAAACAATTTTTAAATCTACAATAGTCTAGATGAAAAATATGATGCTGTATACGAGAGCCTATAAGAAGATAATCCCTTGGCAAAATTTCTCCAAAATGTATAAATATTTAAGTAGATAATACAGCAATATTCTAGTTGAACACAAGATATTCTGCATGCGAATATCTTTTTTCCTTTATTGCGGACTATCTAATAAACATAAAATTGAATAATTATAAACCCAGTATCCTTTTGTTCGCACAGAATAGGACGGGGCAATTACTTAATATATGACTAGGTGATGTTCCATTTCTTTTCAGATAAAAATGGCATTTTGTTATATTTTGTTATATTAGATAGTCCAATGTAATTCCATTACCTAGATAAACTGCGAGCAACCTCAACTTTATCTCCTCAAAAAAAGTTACCACAACTTATGCTAAAAAGCGAAAAACGCCTTTAATCAGCTTAATTGTCGATTCACTAACTTTACAATAGGTTTCCAGTTCAAATATGTTCTTTTAACAAATCGTTACTTAGTAGGCAAAGGAATGAACTACCTTTTTAAAAATCGCGACTAAAGTTGGACTATGATTAATGTTGCTAGAACCAAAACATGCATCGTCAAGAGTACACCAACAACTTTTTTCACAATTGAGATTAGATCCATCGAGTACGTCAATGAGTTCTGCTATTTGGGTAACTACGTTAGTATATATGGAGGTGCACCAGGAGATGTGGATAGCAGAATATCAAAAGTCAGAATAGTGTTCAATAATCTTCGCAGTGAGTTAAATGAAATATCTCCTCAAACAAAAATTCATGTCTACAATGCCTATGTAAAATCTGTACTATTGTATGGCTCAGAAGCTTGGTTGGTCAACAGTAAAATACAAATAAACCTTCAAAGCTTTATAAACAGATACCAGTGCAATATTTAGAGAATTTTCATATGCGGAATTACTTCAACAAACAAACCAAGAAGATATTAACAATCAAGTCAAACGTTGAAAATATAATTGACTTAGCCACTTCGAAAGCCGTACGATAAAATATGCCTCGTGATACTTCAACGGAACCCCCAAGGCAACAAACACAGAGGAGGGCCATGTAACGCCAGGAAAAGAACGATAACTAATGAAAGCGGTAAATCTTTAAATAAATTACGTTGTATTAATACAGATAGAAATAGTTGAAGATTCTATCAAACAAATCTATACTTATGATGAAGTACGGTTAATAATAATATGTAATTTGTTTGTGTCAGAACAAACTTAATGAAAGATACAGCATTTTTTCTTCAGAGTCTATAGCGACTGCTTTCATATAAGCTGTTGATAGTGAAGCATGGAATAACGGGCCTATGAAAATTACTTTGGATAAGCTAAAGCTGTGATTCTCATAATAATTTTTTTTTTAATTTGTCAAAATATATATAATAATAATTTAATAACAATAATATGATAATAAAATAATGGAAGTTACTTTTATTTTAAGATCTTTTTCTCCCATCACATGGACAATGCAGAAAGAAATTGACCTGTTTAAAATTGTTCCAATAGATCTGCTCATTGTTATTTTGACATCTTCAGAAGGTACATTTCTTATAGTAGTACAACCGTTTTTGTGTTATCCAATTATTTAGCTAATTAATATTTTTTCAGAATAATAAGAGCTTAAGTTTTAAATTGTTTCAAGAGAATTAAAACATTTTTGAAAAGCAGATATTTAACTGTTAAAATTTGTCTAAAATAAAAAGTGCTTGAATATTACATTAAAGTGCTATGTTCATTATAATTTCGTCTAATCAAACTATCTAATACTATAAAAGAAACTGTAGAACCAAATTGAAAGGTGATTTCGTTTAATAAAAAAACTGTTACGAATTATTCCAATAAGTTTTCGATATCATTGCGCGTGTTTATTATACATAAAACGCCTATTCTGTTTAAATTATTAATTACAACTAATTGTCTTATGATCTCATATTAACTGCTAACATTGAAGTAAACTTTCCAAAGAATATTTTTAAATATATTGAAGTAAAAATAGTGATGAAAAGACTAATGTTGTAGTTTCTCAATTGTGTGGAGTTCATGCAAATCTTAATTTGGGTGTCAATCATTCATATTTCACCATTTTATCCATTTGTTCGTTTAATTTTTTTGAAATTCCAAAGAGTTTTTGTGCAAAATTCTTTATGGAATGCTTGAAAAGTGAATAGGATAGTTTGTCTTTTCACACACAGACAGATTAAAAGAAGTAGTGGTAGATGTCAGACAGAAATAACTATATCAATTGTTTTTGACACGTCAATTAAGAATATGTGTGACTTGTGTAATTCCTGACGTGGACTTTATCTTTATAAATCATTTTTTCGAAAGAACTATATTTAATAAAAATATTTATATATAAATATTTATTTTTTTTTAATATGTATATAAACTAATAAGTATATATGAAATATTAAGTGTTATTAATTATGTTGAAGCTATTTGAGCTAGTGTACTTGAGCACTACAAATCTTTCTTAACTTGAGGTATTTTTCAAACCCCTCTTTACGCCTTGACTAGTTTATTGTTTATCACTTTATCAGACTAAGCAATAATTCACTTTAGGTCTGCATATCTCCCCGAGGAGCCTGTAACCATTCTGAGATTTGATAACGCGGTGTTGGTAACTCTGTCTGTTTTCGCAAATAATTTCAGGGCTCTATCCTTTATGTACTTTTTGATGGGATAAATCTTGAGGTCCCTGAGGATGTCATTCGTCCTAATGTACCATGGTACTTTGAAAAGTCTTCTCAGAGCCTGGTTTTGTGCAATTTCTAGCTGGCGAATAGTAGTGTTTGGAGTGTTATATGTACTAAAAATTTAAATGAATATTTTGAGGTACGAATAGATTTAAGGGAAGCCTTAAGTCTCTTCTTAGCAAGAAGAATTAATTTAAAAACAAAATAAAGTATAAATAAAAAATATATATATATATCAAAATTATAAGAACAACAATCTCTCTTCATACGTAATGTACTCTTAATTTTTAATGGACAATTCCACTGTGTGCTCGTTCGCCAGAGCCTTATTAATGGTTACAGGGGCCACCATGAGAAGGTGGAAGTAGACATTTGCTTTTGAGTAGCTATTTCAAACTCATCAAAGACCTTATCCTCCAACAATTTTCTGAAGAACATTAGAATTCGGGTAACTAAACTAAACTTTTACTTTTTTTTTTATAAAAAAAGCACTTCATATTTTATAAAGTGCTTGATTGGAACTCAACTCTTAATGTAAACTGTTTAATCGCCAAATATCAGATAGCGACAAAAAAAATATAAGAAAAACTCTGCTTTGTATTATTATTTGATAATTAATTTATTAATTTAGTACTTGTTACCAAAATATTAACAATTTAATATCAACAAATTGCAGTTCCCAAATAAACAGAAAAATCACGTCAACATTGTCACGCAGAATACCATAATCACTGATTTCCTTCAATGCCATCAACACGTTGTACTTTTAATCCTTATGGCCATCTTCATTACACCCAGTCAGATATGTGAAAGTGAAGTATATACATGAAGCATATACATTTTGATATGGAAAAGTACGTAAACGCAAATTAAACCACTTCCACTATTCTGCTCTATTCCGTTGTTTAGCAACCTTCAATACCACTTCCAGCAATCAAGTACATCCGTGAGTACAAATTGTTTCATAGCAACTCTGCTCATTATTATTTCGCAAGTGGCAGGATAAGGATTAGTCTCTATATGTTCTGATTTCAAATGAAGTCAGAAGAAGAGCATACCTGCCTGCGAAAGGTGAACTGCATTATTAATGCAACACGATTGCAGATTCTTAGTTTCTATTTTTTCTGCTTTTTCTGATTTTTCTATTTTACTTGAATTTATTTAAATTAATTTTTATAAAACGGATTTTGGTATTATCATTGCTCTTCTCAAGCTAATTTAATTTTATTTGCGTAAAGGGAGCTCACATTCATAAAATATGCAGAGAAAAGTACGCTTCCTTTGCATATTTATTTCAATTAGAAATTCCAGATTTTATTAAATTTTTCACTAGGGAAATGCAAATGCTCTTGTAAGGCGAAGTTTACTTACAATTTTATTTAATTTTTATTTTGTGTTGTATTTAAAAATTGTTAAAGAAATATATGTTATGTATGCCAGAAACAACTACGAACTATGAATATTCTTCATACAAGTAGATTGTAAACTTCATATATCCTACAACCACACTTTCCTTCATATCCCTTACATACCATATATATACCATATACATACTACATCCAAATACGTGTAAAACTACATAAATTCAAAAAAATTCGAAATTTGTAAAGTGAAATAAAATATTGTAATAAAATTTTGGCTTAAATGTTGCCTTTATGACTTAAAGCTAAGCATATTTCTGTACATGACATGCAGAGTAACAGAGTAAATGTGGGCAGGTATACTGCCATTCTCTCTCATACAAATCCTTCCGTTAATGCACATTTAACTTTTTGTTGCAGGCCTCAATTTGCCGATGCAGCCAACCGTTATCGGGTTTCAGTGCACGTTGCTTGGAGGACGAGCAAATGTTGGAGGCAATAAGAAAAACTAATCCAAACACGGATTATATGTATGTCGTGGATACCAGACCTAGGGTGAGTACAAGTGATGTATGTAGATATTTTACACTGGCACATGTGTTGCATCAATGGAAAAAATAAAAAAGTGACAATTTTAGAGCATAAACATGCACCACTTGTGCTCGAAATGCCATCGTCAAGTTTTTGATGGCATTTTGACACATCAACCAATGTTTTGAATATTAACAGCGTAATGTGAGGCAGGCTACTATAGACAAGTATGCGTAATGCTTCGCTTGTGTGCCTTCCAACAGCTGTGTGTTGAGCTGCAAAATGTGAAGTGACAGCTTAATTACCACAGGCACTAATGAGAATTTTTTAAATTACTTTAATTTTTCCATAGATAAATGCAATGGCAAATCGTGCTGCAGGCAAAGGATACGAAAATGAGGCATTTTATGAGAATATCAAATTCCATTTCTTGGGCATTGAAAACATACACGTGCAACGCACCAGTTTACAGAAACTAATAGAGGCTTGCGAAAAGGCACCAACAATGAGTGGGTTTCTTAATTCACTAGAATCATCTGGTTGGCTGAAACATATACGCTCAATATTGGATACATCAAGGTATTGTCGAAAGTTAATTTCATTCAATTAGTTAGCAAGTTTAATTAAAATTAATCATTTCAAAAATCTGAGAACTGTTTTCGATTTTATACTGAAATAATGCATTATTGCTTGAAAAAGTAAAGCAGAAGGAATATTAGTGCTACATTATTTCTTTACTAACTATAATAAATAGTAAAGCGTTTAACTATTCCTAGACAGGATTATTCCTAAATCGATTTAGATATCTTATCAAAGATATGAAGACACTGGAAGAGCAAAGTTTGTGTATCTTGCAGTTCTTGAAGATTGAAGTTCATATTTCTAATGAAATATATGTCGTGAATAATATTTTATTACTTAGACCGTGTGCGAATTCGAGTAGATTAGATTAGATTAATCTAATTAATGGGCCATTAAGGTCCATTGCGATATCAGATCAGAGTCTTATTTTAGCGATTGTGTGCATCATTTAGGATGCTCGTTTCGTTAGCAAATTTTATTCGGATTCCAACAGAAACCTCAGGTATGTACTACAGTCCTATAAAACTGACAGCCCCCAAGTATTTTTGTCGAGTAAATTGATGGTAAATTGAGGAAAATAGTAATTTATGTCGGTATGGCAACGAATGTTGGTATTTACCAGAATTTCGAGCAGGGCAAATTAGATAAAAATTAAGTAAATTAGGTGTTACCATTGTGAAAATTTTATAAGACGCTTAATAAATAAATAAATAATAAATAAAAAGTGCAATAATAATAAATAAGTGCAATAAATAAATATTTACATAAGTGCATTGCAAAAAATCCCTAGGACAATTCAATTTACTTTACCTCAATATACTCGAACTCGCACAAGGCCTTAAATATATATTTAAAACTCCATGCTCCCAAAAACAGTTTAAACTTTCTACTTACTTCTTCTAGTCATGTAAGCATAGTTACGCAGTTTCTGCTTCACGTCCTTGATTTAATTCATTAAATAGTTCAACAGTTTTGTTTTGAATTGGCCTTCACATATATATTTTGACCAGATACATGTACAACTACCAATATATATGGTATATATATATGTATATAAAGCAAGTATACATAATCTCCCTGCGCCATTATCTTTTATTCACGTGTTAGAATTTTTAAAGCTCTTCGTATAATTCAATTATTGTTTACATCATTTGTGCCAGAATGAAGAGAACTCTCTTCGTGATTATATGCATGATTCCATTTCTTAAATGCAACAATAAAAACGGGTTTTATATATATGCGATGTATTGGTCATTTATGATTTTCAAGATAATTCACGAATATTATATCATGTACAACCCTTAAAACACTTGCCATAAATCGTTAGCATTAACTCATCCACACTCGAAACTTAAGACGTTAGAATCGGAATATCCTCTGCTTACCGAACCGTGTTGCCGAGAGCATATTATCTGAAAGTAGATAACATTTAAAGTTTACAAGACGAATAAGGATGTGAATGGGTGGTGGTTGGGGTAGCAGAGGCGGAATAAAGGGTGTTTGGGGTTTCAATTGAAATTAATGTGATTTTAGACGAAGGAACCTAGCCACTTTAAGAGAGCGGGTCCAAAGGTCTATTGACCGAAGATTTGTCTGCGTAGAGGCAAAAGAACAGGTGGGACTTAAAACTGTAGAATAGATACACATTCGGTATAGACGTGTTTATGTGTGGCAAGTAACTCTTAAGCATTTAGTTATACCCGACGACGTTCTTCTTCGGAGATATTAGGCGGGAGCCTGTTGAGAACCTGGTTGTTAGTCAACCTAAGATTCGGATACTACATCTGTGTAGAGGGCTATAAGTTCATGTTTGTATTCGATCTCACTGATGTTGGTACTGAAGAGATGAAATCATCTAATTTGATTTCATTGAACTAAATGTATCATTTCACACTAACTGCGCAATAGACATATTGAGTCCTAAAGTTAGTTTTGACTTTTTGAATGCCTATAACGAAATTAGAAGTGCAATAAATGTAAGTTTCTTATAAAATATGATGGATAGAATAAAGTTTCTCAATGGTCTTCCTAAGTAATTTCTAAGCGACTTATAGTTTTTCAAAAATTTTGATAAAATATAATAATCATATTAATGTGTTTTTGTTGTTGTTATTCTTGTTGTTCCACTGTACTTATCAAGTATTAAACGCTAACCCGGAGCTGTAAGCAAAATTTGCCAGAGAATATGTTTGACTCTGAGAAATAGTCATTTATGTTGATATAGTCTGAATATCTCTCCAGGAATATATTTTAAGTTTTAAATAAATTATCAGAATTCTTAAGTTTAAAAACATTTGTTCTTAAATATTGTTTCGTCTATGCCAATACAAGATATAACAATGTGTCTTATAATGACATCTTTAACCTGACACGCCCCACAATTTTCAAGCACGAGTACAGTAGCTGCAATTAACTTCCATCTTAATAGCAAATTCCTTAGCACACTTTGTCTGACATGTGGAAGCACACAAAGCGTTGACACATCCAAGGCGCAGCTAAAATATATTTACATTTTAATGATGTTGACAATATGTCGATGCATAATAAGTCTGACATACGACATACAACATACCAATGAAAACGCTAGCTGGAGGGTTTGTGAGGACGTACAATCACAATAAGAAAATGGCGTAAAATATTGCCAATAAAATAACAAACAACAAAATCAAAACACAAAACAGCAATAAAATTAAATCAAAAAATTTAATATTTATTAAGCAAGGGAAATTTATATCACCAATTTCAGCAATTGCAAAACAGTAATTTATGGTTTCGGTGGCGTATGAGTAATAATTTTTTTTATTGATTTTAACTTTTCTTCACTGAAATTCGACGAAGCACAGAATATTAAAATATTTTTATGACTTTTCGTTGCAGTTTTATAGCGAATGCCGTTGATAAAGGTGTTTCAGTAGTTGTGCATTGCTCAGATGGTTGGGATCGAACCGCACAAGTGTCATCTTTGGCTGCTTTAATGTTGGATCCATACTATAGAACTATTAAAGGATTTCAGGTAGTATTATTGTAATAAGTATACTAAATCCATTCATTCAATTATATTCATATCATTGCAGGCTCTTATCGAGAAGGATTGGTTAGCATTTGGTCATAAATTCAGTGATCGTTGTGGTCACATACAAACAGATCTACGTGAAGTTTCTCCTATATTCACACAATTTTTAGATTGTACCTGGCAATTAATGTATCAGCGCAGTGATGCTTTTGAGTTTAATGAGCGTTTTCTTCTAATCTTGCATGATCATGTGCATTCATGTCAATTCGGTACTTTCGTTGGAAATTGCGAAAAAGATCGTTTGGATCTTAAACTATCAGAGCGCACATTCTCCTTATGGGGTTTCATGGCGAATCATTTAAATGAATACATCAATCCATTATACAAACCTGATGTTGATGAAACAATCAAAGCAAATCTAGCACCACAATGCATAAAGTAAGTTTTGTAAATTGTGTTCCTGTAGAAAATATTTATTAACCTTTGTGAATGATCTTTTTTTCAATAGATTCTGGCGCGGCATGTACAGTCGGTAAGACAAATTTAATTAAAAAAAATGTTTTTCATGTAATAATAATATTAGTATTATTAGTAATAATTTTTTTTAAGTCTACAAGTACTAATTTGCTAGTAAATAACATTATTTAATTGCTAGTATTTAATTTTTCCCTTTTGTTGATATTGCGACTAGGATTAAGATTAAGTTTAGCAGCTACCGGAGCAGACGAGCGATTTAAATAGATATAGAGCTTGTAGTTATTAATATAATTTGAACAAAAATACTAGCCATAAACGTTAATAAATATCACTCTTGAATTTATTAAACAATAAAAATATAATTTTATATTTATTTTCACTGCAATTATACCAGGAATATGTCAATTTCGACTTCCCAAAAAAGTATTCTCCATTAAAGAAAACGCAATTTAGTTTGCTCAAATTAAAGATCAAACATATATTGAAGTTCATAGACAGTTGCCTTGCTTATGCATTAACGTTATTAAATCGTCTGATGGATAAAGCCATCCCTTCAGTACTTTCAGTCAATTCATTTATACGAACATAGATTTTATTTTTATCTTGCATATTAATTTATTATATACATATATATATATATGTATTTAGTTTATGGTAACTATTAAATGTATACGCGATTAATTAATGTATTAATAATTCCGTAGTTTTGAAAGTGGTGTACATCCGCGTGAACCTCTTTCCGATTTATTGCTAGCAAGCAAGGACCATTGCACTTCATTAGAAGACCATGTGCAGCATTTAACAAAGGTAACACCTATTAATAATGCTTTAAATATTCTTTTTAAATAATAATAATATTAATTAATATGAAAACCATTTTTGTTAATTACAGCGTATAACAAGTTTTAAAAATTATATATCAAAATCGGCTAAAAAGTTGCAGGATGCCACAACAAAATCTTCAAAAACCGAGTCTGCAGTTACTGAAATCAATGACAACAAGTGAGTGTTTCAATATTATTAATATTTATTTAAAAACTATATCGGAATATTCTTAATTCTTCGAAACAATTTATAAATTAATTAATTTAATTTAATTATTTTTGTTTATAGATATAATTACGATAAGAAAATGAGTGAACTCTCTTCTGCTGATGACGATCATCCTTTAAAATCAAACGATTTGTCTTTTGCCAGCTTATCGGTACTGTAAAATATATTATTAATATTTTTAATTTTTTTTATCAATTCGATGTATGATTTCAGCTGACAGAGCATATTGATCCGAATAATATAACAGAGGAGTTAAATTCTGTAGCAGTTGATTGGAAATCGATGCGAAATGTAACTGCTTGCTCATGTTCAACACCCTTTGACCAATTTAGCAAGAAGGTAAATGGATCTGAATAATCAATTTGCTGTAAATGAATAGAACATAAATTGCTGACGCAATCTACTAGTTAAGGGGCTCAAGAAGTACATTTGTTATGGGTATAATCTACGAATTCGGTGACATTAAAGCCTTTACAGCATAAAGATTATCCACATGATAACAATATTAGACTTATAACTATAAGTCTATGAGATACGAGAATGTGGTTCAATCCATTCATAGGAGATCTTCACAGTTAAAATAATGAATATATAGAATAATACAAACAGATCTTACAGCCGTGTTTGCAAATATAGTCTTTGAGTATTATTGATTATCAATTTATATGCAATTTTTTAAATCGAAAAATTTAAGAACATATTGAACAGATCTATTTAAAACTTGTTAAATAAAGACTTAAAATAAAGACTGCAGGTAAACACCTATTTCAATAAGTCCAAATAGTGGATAATACCTTCGTTTCATAAGATATGACTCATATATCTTACTACCGTGTTAGTAGCTATAAGTAACTGGAATGCTTCTGATAAAATTTTCTTAATATGTAATGTTTTATTGATTGATATATCTGAAGCCTCAATCTGTGACTCGACAAAACGAGAAATCTCTAAAATTAGTAAAATCATTAGTGGAACTTATTTATAAACATTAATTTTATCACCGATCTTATATATCCTTTAAATCATCGAATTTTTTTTTTATTATGTTTAAAGTCATAACGTGTATTATCTTAATATGTAAAGATTTGACTATATAATATTATGTTGCGAAATATACATATATCTTTCGAATTTACTTGTTTTCATTAGAGAACAAAGATCTATAAAATTCCCTTTTTAATTAAAAAAGCCAACTTGTATATTAATCATAAATTTTAAATTATTTTAATCACAATGACAAGGAAACTATAGTAGCAACATGCAAATGTTACAAAAATAGTTTTTCAAAGGTTCCCCTAGTAATGCACCTACACATACACGTAAGTTGTGGAATAACACAGGTGGTATTAATTACTCCCTAACCATATTTAAACACATGTCATATAGCATTTGTTATCATACCCTTACAAGCCTCACATCCGTTTTGTTACTGCCCAGTGCATGGGTTGCACCGGTTGACTATATTAGGGACTTCATTCTTTTTGATCTTGGTTAGCTCCACAACTTTCCTGGAGAATTTTAGGCTTTGCGAAAGGTTCAAAGTTGTTTCTAAACCTCTTATACAGAAACACAATGAACCAAATGGCCAAAATGATCCTTTCGATCACCGGTAAAATCTAACATACCTTTACATACCAAAACATATTAACAACATTAAAAGAATGCAGTTATCTGATGTGATAAAACGTAGTTCCATTCTGGAAAAGTTTATAAAATCCCCACCTGCCAGGCTAAATTGACCAGTGCTTCCAAATATGTCAATAACAGAAAGTATCTGTCTATTGTGACAGAATCCATCCATCGTTTTTGTTAGAATACGTCTGTCGTTTGTGACAGAATACGTCTGTCTATTAGAGCAGGAGTTTCTATATTTTATGACAGAATGCGTCTATCTATTGTGAAAGAATGCGTCAATCTATTGCTACAGAATGCGTCTGCCGATTGTGACAGTATACATCTGTCTATTGTGACAGAATACGTCGGTTTATTGAGTCAGTCTATTGTGACAGTATGCATCTATCTATTGTGACAGAATGCGTCTGTCTATTGCGACACAATGAAGCTGTTTATTGTGACAAAATGCCGTTTCTATATAAAATGTAGTGGCGATATTAAGCGCCGATAACCATCAATTGGTTCGCATCTACAGAGGCCTTATAGCTAGCTATAGGGTCCTCGCAAGATTTAATTAATCATGGGAAAACTATTTTTTACTTTTTCATGTATGGTTATATGTAATTGTGCATTAAATTTAATATAATCTGATTTGATCATATGTAAATATATGATTTCTTAAAAAAAAATATATAAAAAACTAGTAAAGTTAAAACATATTTAATATTTTCTTTTAACTCTGATGTCTTCAGCTTCTATAAATGGTATATTGCCGTCTTTGCTGAAAGGGTTCACAGTGGCTAATCAGCTTTGATTGATTTGTATAATATAATTTATTTTTAAATTATACCAAATGTACTTTTTATAACTATTACTTGGTGGCCTTATGAAAGTTCTACAATATTCGAAATAGGATTTATAATTTAAGCTAAAATAATATTTATTTTTATTAATAATATATATTATACACATATTTTGTCTTTCAGACCCACTGTTGGAAATGTGGAGAAATATTTTGTGAACGTTGTATCGTCAAAAATATACCATTACCGGGTTTGGATAGCGGTAAGCCCGCACCAGTTTGTCGCACGTGCTTTCGTCTAGTACAAAAGATCAGCCCATAAATATATAATGAGACACAAAACTTTATTAAACCATAATTCCTGTACTTGTTGTACACAAGGTGAAGTGAGGAGTGAGTTGCCGCTTTAACTATACGGAATGTTGAGTTATTTATATATCAAATGCTATTTAGTATGTTTGATTGGATATGAGCGATTGTGCGTGTATGTGATTAGGCTTAAAAATTGAAATCAGAATTACTGTTGCATTTCCTTTAAAATTTGTTTAAAAAAATATATATTTAAAATAGATATATACATATTTGATATAAGAAAAAGAAATCAACTAAAAATATAAATTAATGTTGCTTCCTTTAAAGAGCCAATATTTTTTATGTAAAAATATGTTTAAATTATATATTATTTTATATGTAAGCATTTGCTAAGTAAAATCAAAAATCACAAATAATTATTATTTTTTCAATAATTTAATAAATATATTAAATTATATTTTTATTAATAGTTTGTTAAATATATATTTCTATATTTTATTAAACAATTTTTGCACAAATAATGTATTTTGTTTAGGTTAACGCATTTGTTTTATATTGTAAAATATATTTGTAATTATAAAATTGTATTGAATTATTATTAGTGAAAAACAAAAATGATTAATTAATGTGCAATCTAAATTCAACAAGATGTTTTATTAATTATTCTCAAAAAGATTCGATGTATAAATTATTTGACTAAATTATAATAATATAAGTCAATACATAAACACTTCGTTTTAATCCAGAAAAGAAAAAATTAGGAGAAATATTACATAAAAATTACTTAATCAATTACAACAGAATTGTTTTAATTTAATTATAAAACATATGTATTGTAATATAAATATCGAAATAATATATTTAGCAATGTTTCAGAATATGAGTTTTGAACTTATAAATAAATAAGTAGAACAATATCACATTTGAAAATCTAAATAATTTCTTTGTCGAATGTGCACTGATCACACAACTACGGAAACGACCTCATTTTATCTTCAAAATGGGAATAAGACTTAGTAAGTTAAAAAGTTACTTAGAAAAAAAATGGAAAAACTAATGACAGCGATATAAAAATCAACAACAATTGAAAATCTGTGCTATTTACCAGGTGTACCGGTATGAAATGAGCGTTTTTTGGTGAAAATAAAACACTAATTATTAATAGGAAAGTAAAAAACATTTTATTCAAAGTATTGGCCATTGCTTTCTACACATTTTGACCACCTTTCTGGCAATTTGTGGATACCACACCAAAAAAATTGTTCGTCTTTTAAAGCAAACCAACCAGACACCCAATTTTCGACCTCCTCGTAGGAATCAAAGTGCTGCAGCCAATGCGTGTCCCATCGATGAAAACAAATGGTAGTCGGAAGGAGCCAAGTCTAGTGAATACAGCGGATGGGGTAGCAGCTCTCAGCCAAGTGTTTTGATTGCATCCTGAACCCGTTTTGCTTTGTGTGCAGGTGCATTGTCATGGAGCAGAATTCCCTTGCTGTGTCTTCTGGCCCATTCTGGTCGTTTCTTGATCAATGCATGGTTCAAATTTATCATTTGTTGTTCATAGCGACCAGCATTGACGGTTTCATGTAAAACGTTAGTTTTTTTTAGAACCAAGCATTTTAAAAATAATAATAATAATATTAAAATACTATAAAAGAATCAATTTCAATAAATAGTTTCAAAAAAATGTATCCTCTTGTACTTTATTACAAAACAATATTTTTTCACACAAAATACTGCCTTAAATTTTCAAAAAGTGCAAATATTAAAATCTCTTAAAACCATGGATCAACCAACCAAAATTATCCAAATATTATCTGGTACAAATACAACTGACCAGACGGAATGACCAATTAGAATAGCAAGCAACTAAAGTTAATAGAGAGATTGGACATAAGGTGATAAAATACTAAATCCTGCAATTATTACAATTATATATTATTTTATTAATCTTAATTTGTTGTCCGGACCTCCACTCACTAATTGAGCTCAACAGACTGAAGTTCCGTCACCAACATGAGTCCATAACCATTTCTGTGCTACAAGCCCATGCCTTCAGTGTATTGCCTGTAATACCGTCAATACTTCCAGGTACCATCCACAATACCCCGATATCAGTGGCGACTAACCACTGGAAATATTATTTATATATGCATAACATAATACATAACTCTACCAATTATACACGATGGCATAACATAAAGTATTATATTAACTAACCTCCATAAAATAATTACAGATACAGTTTAACTTTTAAAGCTCGAAGTACCATTTTGCAAAGAAAAGGTTCGACTTATGGAGACTTCGAGTAAGATAATCTTTCTTTTTTGTTTTTTTTATTTTTGAAAGTAACTAGAATTATGTTTCAAGATAATTATTTATTTATTTGAAATCAAACACGGCACAGAAGTTATAGTGAATTAAAAAATATTCAGAAATTAGGGTTTGGGACTTTAATTTGTTTATTATTTTCAGTAAAAAGAGAATCCAAAGAGATTATTCATACTCTTTTAGTAATCATCAGTTGTAGTATCATTCGTTTGCAAATTAAAATTCAGAATTTTGAATGAGTCTTCTACTTGATTTCTAGAAGGCTAAAGAACAGCTTCATCCACCTCATCATCACTTTTCGTTGCGCTTAGAATCGGATCCACTAATTCATATGATATCAATAATATCGTCGACTGTAGGAAAGCTTGATGTATAAATTTCATTGTCAAGAGCAATATAGTAGTTAAGAATAGCATTGGAAGTTATTGTATTTATTTTAAACCACGCTGTCAGCGACTGTAATTTGCGCAAAGAAACAACAAGAAAAAAAATTAAACATTTGGTTTGGAAAAAGGGACTTCCCTTAACAGCAAAATGCATTTATACTTAAAACAAAAATTCGACTTATAGAATGCACTTTCCCATATTCCTATTGGCACATAACAATATTTTTCTTCGAGTTATAGAGAAATTCGTGGTATAGAAGTTCGAGTTATA